GTATATGAGGGAAACAGAATTAAGAGTCCAGATACTTTTATACATATGCTCAACTGATGTTCCCAAGGGCAATTCATGGTGAAAGAAGAATCTTTTCAACAAATGATGTCCAAACAACTGGATGCTCATGTGCAGAAATAGAATGACACTGGATTCATACCTTACAACATACATGAAAATGAACTCAAACCCAGGCTCAGTGGCACACAACTGTAATCCCAGCACTTAGGAGGCTGAGGCAGTAAGACTGCTAGAAATCTGAGGCCAGCTTGGGCTACACAGCAAGACTGGTCTCAAAAAAAACCAAAAAACAAAAAACAAAACAACAACAACAACAAAAAAAACCCCACCAAAAAGTAAAAGTGGTCTACAATTCAGCAAAGGAAAATAAAAAAGAATAAAAATTTAAAATAGATTAAAAAGCAAAAGACGTAATAAACATCCATTATAAAGAGATACATAAAGTGCTGAGAGGCAATTAAGTTCTGATACAAGCTAAAATAGGGATGAACCTTGAACATATCATGCTACAAGAAGGAAGCCAGATGTAAAAATATATGTATATATTACCCCAACTACATGATATATCTGAAATCCATAGATACAGAAAACAGATAATTCGTCTTCAGGAACTGAGGGTTGGGGAGAATGTGGTATGACTCTAATGGGCTTGTGGTTTCTTTTCAAGTGATAATAATGTTCTCAAATTAGTAGTGGTACCTAAAACACAACTGTGTCACTATACAAAAAAAAAAAAAAAAAAAAAAAAAAATCACCAAACTGTACACTCAAGAGGATAAACTTCATGTTATTTGAATTATATTTCAAAAAAGCGATTATATCTTTATCAGTAACCCATGTATTTATCAGAAAATATAAAGAAACTGAGGAAACCCTAGAAATCATGATGACTTTCAAAGAACAACTAGTATAGATAGAAGTTCCTTGAAAACTTGTTGGTTAGTTTCGTTGGTCAAGAAATACCCACCTTATCTATAGAATACCTCTGCATAGCGACATTACCACATTTATAAATGTATCTGTAGTCTGCAGGTATCATCAGCCACTGGCTATTACCTAGTAAATCAAACTTTATTCCCTGGGCTCTGAATTTATATTAAATTTTGATCCACCTCCCGAGGTCTTATAAACAAGGATTCAGATAATTTATGGCAAATGACCTCTAGGGAAGTAGAAGATAATTTGTGTTTTGAATAACCTAGATGGATTTTTCTGCTAAGCAGCTTTTATAGATAAGTGCTCACCACTTTATCTCTGCTATCACAGACACACTGATCTCTGAGGCTAGAAGTGTAATCCTCATGGCTGAAGTAAAGTAGCTACTTTTTCTGGCTCAGCTCAGAAACCCAGCCTCAGCTTCTTTAGTCAGCTGGTGGGAGGAATAAAGATGATCACAGGACAATAGATGATCTTAGATGGTGATAGACAGATTGGGCTTTGGTGATTTTAAAAAAAAGTCCAAAAAAAAAAAAAGGTTTAAGGCTTTTAAACTCCATATTTCATATTGTTAAACAATATGATTATAGTCTGATGTTATTTTATACAAATTTATATTTATACCTAGAAAATGAAGTGTATTTTTTCTTTATATATTCTTTTAAACTACCCCATTATTTATTTCAACTACATGCAATATAAAACTTTTGTTCCATCTTGTTTTTTGTGGTGTTGGGGCTTGAATGCAAGCCTTGCATATGCTAAACATGTACTATATCCCTGAGCTACACTATAGTAAGATTAAAATGGGATCTTTATGTTTATGATTCTTCAAATTTGTATTCTAGTTTGTTTGTTTGTTTGTTTGGTACCAGGAATGGAACTCAGGACATCACATTTACCAGGTAGGTGCTTTGCCAGTGAGCTATCTCCCTGGCCTTGTAATCTGTTTTTTTTTTTTTTTTTTTTTTTGGGGGGGGGGGGGATCTGGTCTTGCTGTGTAGCCCAGGCTGGCCTTGAGTTCCCAGAAATCCTCCTTCCTCAGTTTCCCAAGTGCTGAGATTACAGGCATGAGCCATCATGTTCAGCAGTATTGCTTGTTTAATCTTCCTAGTCCTTTGTATTAAAAAAAAATTATGGGATTTCTAGTCACACACAACATATAGTCACTAGTATATTGAGCTAGGAGACAGTCATTACCCTGATTAAAGAAAAATACTTGATGCATAGCCAACTGTGTTTCATCTATTCTCTACCCATTATCTCTTTAAGTGATCTTCAAGCAAATCCTAATTATCACATCATTTTATCAATCTATCTATACACCACACACACACACACACACACACACACACACACACACTTTTTGTTTTGTTTGAGACAGGGATCTCACTATGTAGTCCAGGCTGGCCTTGAACTCATGATAATCCTCTTGCCTCAGCCTTCCAAGTGATAGGATCACAAGCATGCCCCACCATGCCTGGCTATCTGCATATATTTTAGGATATATCCTAATTAGGACTCTTTCAAAAAACATAACCCAGTGGTATTACTGTACATTAAAAGCAATAATAATCACTCCAAAATGTCCAGAAGGAAAGTTTTCAAAATTAGACAATACAGTAATTATATAACTTTCTCCCCAGTATATATTTGCAATCTATAATAAGAAAATATTACTTCAAGAAGTTGGGATTTTGGGCTAGGGAGACAGCTCAGTAGAATAAGTGCCTGACTGACAAGTGCAGGGTTCTGAGATCAATCCCCAGTACCACAAAAAAAAAAAAAAGTTGGGATTTTGAAAGCTTTCTACTGGATGAAATTTAGCAAACTGGATCCTACTTTTACTTTCACTAAGTATACAAAGTAATTATGCATCCAACTACACTAATGTAGAATAACAATCCTTTTATTTGTTGACAGGAATAATTTTCCCCAAGACAAAATGGACAGAATGTTAGTAAATTATAGAAAGATTTTTTTGACTTGGAACAGGAACAACTAGGAACATAAAGCATACAGTTTTTACAACTATTATTTGTTTTTTGTCTTTCCTATCAAGGTACATGGTAAGTATAGTGAATCATGTAACAAATTATCAAAATTCTAGAATTTATTTCCATATATATATATTATTTAAAAAAATTTTTTTTTGAAACAGGGTTTCACCGTACAGTTCAGGCTACCCTGATCTCACTATGCAACCCAGGTTGGCTTCAAACTTTCAGAAATCCTCCTGCCTTAGCCTCTTGAGTGCTGGGATTACAGGCATGTGCTATTATGCTCGGCATTCTCTTTATTATCGATTCTAAAACAAGCTCAGATCTATAAGAATTGCAAAAATAGTGTAACAATTTTCTTACAGTCTTTACTCAGTTTCTCCAAATGTTTTGAGATGTCAAATACAAATACAGTCTGTCTTGTATCTTCAGTTTTGGAAACTAGTTTCATGTTGTTAATATCATTTAAAAATTTTGTTTTGATCATTTATTTATTTGGTACATGGTCTCACTATGCAGCTCGGACTCATAGTCCAGTATTGCTGGAAGATTAAATAAGCAATACTGCTGAGGCTCAGCTCCTGTCTGAGCCTCCCCAGTGCTGGATTACAGGCGTGTGCCACCATTCCCAGTCTTGGTGGTCAGTTCTGCAGGGCTGGCACAGCATGGGTACCTGGGTTCAAACCCAGGTCCTTGGGCTTGTTGGGCAGGTGCTTAGACTGCTGAGCTATCTCCCCAGCCTCATTAACTTTTTTTTTTTTTTTGGCGGAACCGGGGATTGAACTCAGACCCTTGCGCTTGCCAGGGAAGCACTAACTCCACTGAGCCATCTCCCCGGCCCCTCTCATTAACTTTTAAATAAAGGTATTGCATATTAAAAAATTCTTATTGCCAAAGAAGGAAGGAAGTAGCTTAGGTGATACATTGTTAGGCGAAGTCACAGCTGTGTAAACAATATACTCAGAGAATATTATTGACTAGATGGATGACCACTTGGTGAAGAGTTCGTGATATGCAAGAGATTTTGTTTTGGCTGTGCTCTGCCCAGTACCATTATCTCATTATCTATTGGTACCATTACAACATTTGGAGCATGGCTGATACACAGTACCATCTAGTCGGGATTCAAAGAGAGCACCATAGGAGGAAGCATTGAGACAAACCAATGTGATAAAATTTAATAGGGACCTTGTATCAAAGAACCAAAAACAAACAAACAAACAAACAACCAAAAAAAAAGTCAGGTCAGGGTTTTCGTTTACTGAAAAGTCTGTTTAGTTTTGCTTTTGGTCTTTTTGAGACAGAGTCTCACTATACAGTTCAGGCTGGCCATGAGCTCACTTTGTATCCCAGACTGGTCTCAAATTCATAACAATCCTGCTGCAGCCTCCTGAGTGCTGGGATTATAGGCTTTTGCATCACCATGCTTGACCTTGAAAATTTTATTTATTTATTTTTTTTGCAAAACTGGTGATTGAACTCAGGCCCTTACACTTGCCAGGCAAGCACTTAATTCTACTGAGCTATCTCCCCAGTCCCGTTGAAAAGTCTTTGAATAAGAAAACTGGCATGATTATCACCCAATGCAAAAGAACACTTCATCCCTCTGTCTGGGTCTGATCATACTTGAAGTATTGTTTCAGGTCTAGGAATCAGCTGATGAATACTAGGAGAAACCGAATCATTCCCAGGGAAGATGGGGCAGTTGAAGAGGCTGAACATATTTCCTTCCCAAAAAAGAGGGACAGGAGAACACAATTCTCTTCAATTGTTTTGTGACCGGTCTCAAAGACAGTGAATGAATTTACCATTCCATAGCAAAGAGTGGAATTAATACTAAACTAATATTAATAGCTGACACACTTTTTGTATGTGTGGTACAAGGGATTGAACAAGGGCCTTTATAAGCTAGGCAAGTGCTCTACCACTAAGTTACATCCCAGTCTACTAGTGGACTCTTGTGTGCTCAGTATGTACAAGGCATTTTACATGCATTTTTTTTTTACATAAATTAACCCATTTATTATAGGCTAGAGATGTCTCAAATTGTAAGAGCTTCTACTGGTCTTTCAATTCCTTCAGTCTTCTGATGGCTGACTTCACTGTGACCGCCGAAGTGGTATTGTAGGTCCAGGCGCCACCAGCCACGGTCTTCATGCAAGAGCCACAGTGCCAGATCCCCACGGCCCACCTCTTCATCTTGGTCTTGCCACAGAAGGAGCAGGTGTACTTGGCGTGCTGGCTGATTTCAATCTTCTTCACCATTTTCCGGAGGGAGGCACCATAGCGAGTCCCATATTTACCGACAATGCCGACCTTCTTGGTGCGCTTAGCCATGTCGATGCGAGGAGGCCCAAAACCAGAGAGCTTTACATGCATTTTTTAAAAATAGAATTATTCCATGAGGAATTGCTATTACTACGTCTGTCTGATAGATTAGGAAACAAAGCTTAGAGAGATCAAGTTCACACATAGTAAAGTGAAGCAGCTAAGACACACATAAATTAATAACTATATATGTAGAAGACTGGCTTGGGGAGGGAGGGTGAATGCCTTGTAAGGCCAGCACTTGGAGGCTGAGGCATGAAGATTATTACAGTTCAAGGCCATCCTGGGCTACAAAGTCAGTTCAAGGCCAGCTTCAACAGGTCAGTGAAACAAAAAGATAACCAAAGAAAAAAAAGATCATTTAAAATTCAGTAACAGGGCCAGGGAAATAGCTCAGTGGTCTAAGTTCCCATCTGGCAAGTGCAAGGACCCAGGTTTGATTCCTGTTAATGTATGCCATTCCAGCCCCATGCCTAGCCAGTCAATGAAACCAGGTGTGATAGTGTATGCCTATAATCTCAGCACTGGGGAGGCTGAGACAGGAGGATGAGTCCTAGCTGCGCTGTAGCGAGATCCTGTACCAAATAAATAAAAGGTTAAAAAATAAAATTCAGTAACAGAAAATGAACACCCTGATTTAAAAACTGATAAAAGAACTGAACAAATACATGGCAAATATGGACATCAAAAGATCTTAACATCACCCTGGCAAGCACAAGGGTCTGAGTTCAATCCCTGGTTTAACATTATATGCAATTAAGGAATTACAAATTAAAACAATGAGATATCATTAAATATCTGTTAAGATGGTAAACATCCAAAGTGCTAACAAAACTAAATGCTGGCAAGGATGTGGAGCAAATGGAATTTTCATTCTTTGCTGGGGCAACTACAAGACAGTAAAGTTTTACAACACAGTATGGCACAAGACTAAACATAATCTTACCATATTATCCAATAATCACTCTCCTTGATACTTACACAAAGTATTTGAGAACTCATGTCTACAGAAAAACTATACAGAGTTGGAAGGCTCAGACAGGAGGATTGCTGTGAGTTAGAGGCCAACCTGGCCTACGTAGTACAACCTTCTCTCAAAAACAAAAACAAAACACAAACACAGAAAACTTACAGAGAGATGTTTATAGATGTTTCTTCATAATTGTTAAAAACTTTGAATCAAGGGGTTCAGGGGTCCAGTGACAGAGTATGGCATGTACAAGGCCCAATGTCAAACAGAACACAAATGAACAAAAATTCTAAAAGCTCAAGATGTCCCTAAGTAAACTTTTATTTGTTTGATCCTTTTGAGACAGGGTCTCACTATGCAGTTCAGGCTGGTCTTCAACACACTTTGTAGCCCAGCCTGGCCTCAAACTCACAACAATCTTCCTGCCTCATTCAGCCACCCCCTCCCCCAATTCTGGGATTACAGGCATACACCAAGAGCTTCCTCTTAGGTCCTGTGAGTGGATCCCAGTGAGTATATGAACACTGAAGATTCTTCATGAAAGCAGAAGCCAAAAGGCAGTCCGTTGACTTCCTCCCCCAAGAGAAGCTCTGTGTACAGATGCCCACATGGTTTTGCTAATATCTAGTCAGTTGACTCAACATCTGAAATCTAGCTCATTCATCATTTTTGAAGTCGCTCAAGACACTATTACCTCCACATGTTGCTAGAGTGCACTTGACAACAGCACATAATTCATACTGAGAAAGGAGACACAGGATTATGTCTGCATCTACTTTCCCCTCCACTTTTTACAGTTTACTGAGGAATAGGTCTGTCATTGGGCTGCACATTATGGCTGGCAAACAGCAATTCTCAGTAGCCCAGGACTCTTGAATTTTTGGTATCAAGGTTAAATATCAACATATAAACACTTCCAAGGTTAAATATCAACATATAAAGGTGTTTGTCTCTCTTTGGGGGGTAGGTAGTGATGGAAACCTAACCCAGGCCTCAGGCACAGTAGGCAAATGCTATGAGCTACATACCCAGCTTTCCTGGCTTCTTTGGACATGTATTCAAGTATGATCAGTTGCCTTCATCTGGATCTTTAGTTTTCTTCAGGATTTTACACTTTTCTATTATTACTCATTTTGGGGGTCTCATATTGGAATTCATGTTTGAGTTTAAAATAAAAACATGGGCTGAAGGTGTAGTTCAGTGGTAGATAGAGCACTTGCCTGGCATGACAGAGGCTGAGTTCATTCTCTAGCATAGTGTACACACACACACACACGTACACACACTGCTCACACACAGATAACAATACTGTTGTAGGGGCTCATATGGCTTAGCGGTAGAGATCATGCTTAGTGTTATGGTTTGTGCTTAGCTGTCCCCCCAAAGCCTCATGCAGTCCTGGGGTAGCTTCTGGAGTTTGTTATTGATTATTGTGGGTGTGGATGCTGCATCTGCCCTAGGGCAGGTTTTGCATCACAATGTAAGGAGGGGAGAGAGGCTAGCTAGCCACCTGAGCTGCTGCCACTCCTGCTCTCTGCTCTTTGCCACAACCATGAAAGGTTGCTTTCTGCCTGGTGCCTCTCTGCCTTGGAGTCAGCTGAGTATGGACTGAAACCTCCATTAACTGTGAGCTAAATAAACCTTTCCTTCCCTGATTTTGAGTGTCAGGTATTTGTCCCAGTAACAAGAGAAGAGTAACTGAAACACCATGTGCAAAGTGAAAGTTATTTTTTAATCTCTAAAACAACAACAATGCACCTGCTTAGGCAGTTGCAGGGGCCAGGAATTAGATCTTGAGTCCCAGGGCTGTGCTGAGACAGCTATTGAGACTGAGCCTGGTGGCGCGGGAGGGTAATCCCTGCACTTGGGAGGCTGTAAACAGGAGGATCACTATGAGTGTGATCTATTCAGTGTGACCCTGTAAACCCTGTCCTAGAATACAACAAATAAATAAAAACAACAACAAAATATGTGTACGATAATAAAGCCTTGAAAAAGCACATCAACAGTCACAGCATGCTTGGTCAGGGGTGGTGGCACACACCTGTACTCCCAGTTCTCATGGAAGCTGAGACAGGAGAGTCTCAAATTCCAATTCAGCCTGGGTACCTTAGTGAGTTATCAACATTATGTCACATTAAAAATTTAAAGGACTGAGAATGTAGTGCAGCTGGAAGGCCTTGAGTTCAATCCTCAGTATCACCACCACCACCCAAAAAACAAAAAAAAGGACAAGTCACAGCATTTTTTTTTAAAGCACAGTATTATTATTAATCTTGGGAAGAGGAAATAAGGAGTATAGGTAGAGATGGTGTGGGAATAAAGGGAAATATAAGACTTTAGGTCACTTTTCTTAACCTATTTTCTGTTAATAGCATCAGAATTTTCCTGGTTTCCAAGAAGGAAAGAGTAAAAAAAAAAAAAAAAAAACACTTAAATTCTGATTTTTGTTGTTGTTGGAACTAGCGTCTCATGCTAGGCAAGTGCTCAACTTCTGAGCTATATCCCCAGTTTCTAATATAACTTCCTTCAAAATGGTTTTTATGTTTATTCTTTCTCTGTCCTTGTTGCCAATATCTGTGCCTTCCTTTTCTCCACTGTTAAGAGCATTTCATCAACTCCCAGCTAATCTGTCTGTGTTGCTCTGTTTAGCCATTCCGGACATTCTTCCTAGGTAAGTCCTCTGAAGACTCATCTAGATTTTTCCAGTATTCTAGTCAAGAATTTGTTACTTAGCTCAGCGAGTTTCTACATTCACTTGATAGCCTAATGGCCCTTCATACTAGAGCCCAAACTTTATTATCTCCCTCCTGTTGCTTAACACTGGCTCTTTGCTGAGGGCTGGTGGCCTTTGCTCTTTCCCCTTCTTTTGTGTCCATTCTGTGCCCTCTCAAAGCCGCAAGGAATGCCTGCCATTTCCTTCCTTGAAGATTTTCCTAGTAGTTGCAACTCATACAGCTTCTAAAAATTATTTTCAAGTGATGTTGTCTTAATTTACTTTGTTATGGGACACTTACTGGCCTATTACTACCCGCGATAGTGGTATATGTGGCCACTGCTATCAGAAATGCAAATCTGTAATCTTTTTAAGGAGACAAGGCAGCTCCACTGATTAAGATCTTACACCTCAAATACTACCATAAAATATTTTCCGGCTAAAATATGGAGAAAATGAAAGTAGGAGTCCGGGGTAGTTTGACTTATTTTACAAAACCCACAGGATTTCTTGTTTTTTAAAAAAGACAAAAAACCTATATCCAGTTAATTACATCCAAGTTCATCCTATCGCAGGCATATTTTATTTTCGAGCCGTGTGAAATAAGTTAGAAGAAAATAAGCATGAGGTACTTGTGACCACAAACCACAGGAAAAGGAGCTGACCATCCACTCGGGCTTCGTCCCGGGGCCGCCATCGCGTCTGAGGGTCGCGTGCTCCGCTTTCACTCCGGCGAACTGCGGGCCGGCCCGCCACCCGGGACCGAAGGAGGCGCCTCTCCTACCGCGACGCACTTCCGCGTGC